TCCTATCCTATCCTCTCCTCTCCTCTCCTCTCCTCTCCTCTCCTCTCCTATCCTATCCTATCCTATCCTATTCTATTTGCACCAAGACAAATTCCTTGTGGGTCCAATCACACTTGCCCAATAAAGGATCCTGTTCTATTTTGATCCCATGACCACGGGAATGCTGCAACAGTCGTAAGTAGGGTGGGGTGGGAAACAAATCCTAAGTCAACTTTTTTCATGGCCGTTGTAACTTGGAACGGTCAATAAACAAACTCTCCTAAATTGAGGACTGGCTGAATTTAGGGATAAGAAGATCCCCGCAGAATCAAGAATTCGTGCTTCGTAGCCGTCCCCAATCCTCGAGAAGATGCATTGAGTTTGGATTCCCAGAATCCCCACCTACCAACCGGGGGATTCTGGGTACGTGCTAGAAGAAAAGGGGGGCGGGGCTGATGTCTGGTGATTGGCAGGCGTGATTCCTGATTCCCTTGCTGGTGTTTTCCCCACAGCTGGTGCTGTTTTCCGGGAAGCTGAACACCATCGCTGCCGTGGTCACCATCTTCTTCCTCCTGGTTTACGCTACGGTGGATCTGGCCTGCCTGGCGCTCGAGTGGGCCTCTGCCCCGAACTTCAGGTATGTTGGAAGATGGGGAAAGTGGGAAATCTGCAAAGCACGGAATTCATTTGTTTATAATAAAACAATGCCCCCTTCCACCGAGGGCTTGCCGGCTGCTGGGCTGTGTGGCTCAAGTCAAAAGCCCCATAGCTCTGCCCATTTGGAGGATCTTCTCGAAAAAGAGTCTCCTGCTTGAGAAGCGGGGGGGGTGGGGTGGACTAGATGACCTCCGAGGTCCCTTCTAACTCGCTCACTCTGTAAGGGTCTCTTGCTTGAGAAGGGGGCTGGACTGGATGGCCTCCAAGGTCCCTTTCAACTCTGTCATTCTGTAAGGGTCTCCTGCTTGAGCGGGGGGGGGGTTGGGCTGGATGACCTCCAAGGTCCCTTCCAACTAGGATTCTACGAGCGATCCACGTTTCCTTTCATCCTACTAGCTGGCCAAAGAACGATGAGTGGTGAATCGGTGAAGAGAACAAGAGACGTTGGTGTCTTTTTTTTAAAAAAAAAAAATCGGCCACCCTTATTAATCTTGAAAGGTTTATTCGCTTTTTCGACGCAGCGTCACCCACAAATCCCCCTTCCCTGCCTGCCCTCCTGCAAGATTTCCCTCTCCTCTTTTCCCACTTTCTTTAATTTAAAGACAAGGCATCCTTAATGCGAACAAAAGGATTAAGTGAAAATGAACTAAAGAAGAGGTTACCTGAAAACACACACACGCACGCACACACACACACACCTGTCTGGAGGGGCCATGAAAAAACACGCGGCGGTTTGGCAGCGATTGCTCTAAAGATCATTTCAGAAAATCCACCCCCACCCCCCGCACCCCCCCTCCATATTAAGTGGAAATTTCTTCCTCTGGTCTAATGCGCTCCTTCATGGCAGCTAAATTGAGCGGTTTTTCAAAATCCAATTGTAGAGAGTCTTGGTTTTTGCATTTGCTTTCCGGGGTTGTAGAAACGGGAGGTTTGGCGCCCGAAAGGGCTGCTTTTACTAAATCACACCCTTTTGCAAATTCCACCAAGTTGGACCAAGGGTGGGGTTTTTTTTTCCCCAGGGTCCTCCTGTCCACCTCTCTGACTCTGGGGTGCTTTGATAATGGGGGGTGGGTGGGTGGGTGGGAATTCTGGTTTTGGAGAGAAGCTGGATCCTTTTTGCCCGCAAGGAAATACACCTCGATGACGGGCTGATCTAAGAATGTAAAGTTAAACTAGCCAACTCTTAATCAGCATTGCAGGTTTTTAACATATTAGAATTTGTTAATTGATTAGATGCTTGTTATCTGTCTCGCCTATGGTCTGCGTCATCAACCTCCTCTTCCCCTCTTTCTCTTCCCTCCCTTCCTCTTCCCCTTTCTTCCTGTTCTCCTTCTCCTTCCATTCTCTCTTCCTCTTTCCTTCTTCCTCTGCCTCTTTCTCTTCTTTTTCTCTAACCCTTTCTACCTGTTCCCCTTCTCTCCTTCTTCCCTCCCTCTCTCACAACCTTCATCTTTTCCTTCCTTCCTTCCTTCCTTCCTTCCTTCCTTCCTTCCTTCCTTCCTTCCTTCCTTCCTTCC